AAGCCACCAGCAGTCGGGTTGGTCGCTGCCCCGAAGCCGCCAGCAGTCTGATTGGTCGCTGCCCCAAAGCCACCAGCAGTCTGATTAGTCGCTGCCCCGAAGCCGCCAGCAGGCTGATTGGTCGCTGCCCCAAAGCCACCAGCAGTCTGATTAGTCGCTGCCCCAAAGCCGCCAGTATTTGTCTGAGCACCAAAGCCACCTGGATTCTGATTGGCTGCAGCTCCAAAGCCAGTTGCGTTTGCCTGAGCGCCTAAGCCTCCTCCCAGTGGGGCCGACCCGAAACCTGGCGTCGCTTGGACGCTTTGAGCGAACCCCCCAATCGTGTTCCCTGCTGCTGTGGGGTTACTTCCATTTTTGTTATTTCCAAAGCCACCTGGACCTCCTGGTCCCGACGGAAAAGAACTCACCGCACCTTGCGGTGCCCCGAAGCCAGTACTCGGTGCCGTAGTATTCCCGCCAAAGCCACCAAGGCTTCCTCCAAATCCTGCACCGCCAGAAGCCGGCTGCTGAACAAACCCATTTCCAAAGGCATTGCCCCCCGTGGACGCTCCCGTTAGACCGAAACCGCTCATACCTTTCCTTTTTTCTTCTCTACGCACTGAAGAACAATAATCCCCCAAAAGGTTTTTGAGGACTCAAGGAGAGTGATAAAGAGAAAACTTCTTGAAGCCTAATAGCTTGAAAAATTTTGTATCGAAGCACAAAATGCAAGTGTCGCACACAACACGTTGTCCCAACCAATCGCCACTGCGCCAAGGCCACATTCACTTATGTACGCCATGTCGCATCACAAACTGGAAAATAGCCTGGGCCTGGCCGCTTTGCCCCTGCGCAAAACACTTCTTCACTGTGGACTGAAAAGCTACCTCCGACACAGGCACCTGCAAATCACTCATGCGAGAGAATAACCTTAATGACACCTCCCACGAGGGTCCCGGTGGGGGAGCACGTTCCAGGGCATATTGCACCGCGTCGTGTGTCTTGGCAGATGGAATGTAAAGACGTCGGCGTTGCGGGTCCTCGAGCAAGAGGTTGAGTGAGGACAAGGCTTGCTCCCAATCGCCTTCTCTAGCATAAAGGATCAATAAGTGCTCACATGACTCATTTTCTAGAGCCATACCAAGCGATTTTATTGTTTGTAGACAAAGCTGAGCCTCTGCAACCGTTCCGCTGTACCGCAGCATTGTGTTGTACGCCTTACCGGTAACATCCTTGCTGAAGTGTTTGGACAACTGCGACTCTTGAAGAAGCCGTGTTGCGAGAGGGCCCTTCTGGTAGTCGTTTAGCATCCGCAGAACGTCAAGAAATGTGTTGGCACTAACACTCTCCTCGCTTTTTGTACCTCTGTCAGATGTGCTTCGTTCTAGACGCTGCTTAACGGTGTGAAGTGCCTCGGCCCAACGATTTCCCTTAATGCATGCCCGCAATAGCCGCTCTGCCATCTCGCGATCATCTTCTATCCGAACATCACCTTGGTACATCATCAAAGAAGCGTAATGAAGTGCCAGATGCCACTGCCGCCGCAGAGCCCGGCACATCTGATAGACCGACACCACGTTGGGTCGTACTTTGTGCATCGAGTCACTCGTCACCGACCCCTCATGATGATCCAGGAGCATACTTTCCACAACATGGCACGCGAGCGCCCACTGCCTTCCCTCTATTCCAAGAAGCCCTAGCGCGTCGTTAACCGCTGAAGGTGTGCTCAGCCGCACGTTATTCTCGCAGCTCGTATTCAGCACGTGCAGCGCCAGCCTCCATAACTCAGGTGCGGGAGCGTTCGTCATTTCGCCGCGTCGCCGCTCCTGCGAAGCACGGTACAAGCTGCGGACAGTGGCCGAAACTTCCAGCTCCGACCATGCGGCCGGTGGGATGGTGCTCAGACAGTGCACCGCCCTGTCCCAGTGACCGGCGTGGCTGAACAACTCCACCGCCGCCGCCGTCGTCGTACGGGTTGTAGCGGCGCGTGCCAGTAGCTGCAGCCCCCAGTCCCAGCGTCCCTCTTGCGCCCACCTGCGCGCGTAGCTCACCGCAACACGGTCACTCAACAGGTAATCAACCCTGGGCGGCAAAGGCAAAAAGGCACCTTCGCCCTGTCGCGGTGCGCACCGTGCCAGCTGCGCCACAGATGGCTCGTACAACAATCGCGTCGCCTCATCCTGCGCCCCCTCACTTTCGACTGAAAAGAGCAGTGCAACCCTCGCAGCACGCCGCAGCTGCAAATCTTCGTCATCACTAATGTCAGGAACTATTGCTGCCTTCTCGTGTATTTGCTGCATCGCAGCAGGAATTCGGTCCATCGCGGCCCCGACGAACGACGTACCCGCTGAAGATGAAGCTGGCAATGACGTGTCCGTCACTTCCTTCGCTGGAGGATTCCGCAACTGAGTACGGATGTGCTGAATAAGAGGCGGAAGATCATCGCCGCAAGCCAAACGCGCATAGAAGAGGAGGGTCAGTCGAGACACCCAACTACCACTACTAGGGGCGTCTTTTCTGGGCGAGAATTCAGACGAAGAAGACACAGATGGGAACGTTGCCGTCGCGCCGCAGTTTCCATCACCCTCCTGTCCCATGGGCTTTTGCTTTCCTCTCCCTCGCCTACCCCTGCGCGAAGGCTCTAATCGTAACGGATAACATGACGACAAAGAAGAAGGGCGCACACACACACGCCCCGCGAACGAAAAAAAAAAAATCACGAAAAGGAAACCTCGTTCTTCCCCTTTCTTTCACTTTAGTAAAGGGTTCAATACACAAACAACGGGAAGGGAAACCTCTTTCCCTGGAGAAGCAACTATAGGACATTTTGACATCCCGCTCGCTCCAAAGCTAGTAGATGCTGAGAATATACTTGTGTGCTTAAGAGCCGTAAAGGTGCCGAGCTGAGCGTTGTAGATCCTTTTGCCGTTTCTCCTCATCTGTCTCTTTTGGTGCGGGGTGGGTCATCTTGAACAGAAGCGACGCTCCAACCGCGCCTGCAGCAGGGGCCGACCAATAGAGCCACAAGTGCATCAGCGGAATGCAGTAGCCAGCGGTGATGCACTTCGTTAGCTGCAGACCCGTTGCGACAGCGGGGTTAAAGGCGCCGCCTGACACACCACCGACAGAGTAACCGGCAGCCAGGAGACACATGCCTATGGCAAGGCCGTAGTAATGATTGTTGCGCTGCCGAGAGTACGCGACATGGAGAACGACAGTCACCAGGAAGCCTGTAAACAGAGCCTCTGCGAGGAACCCTGTGAATACATATTTTGGCATGTTCTTGTAGACCTGCGGCGCGGGCAAGTGACGCGGAAAGCCGTTGATAATAATGCCAAAGATGGCGCCGAGGATGCCGCCAACCACCTGCGCGATCCAGTAAGCCACCGCCTCCTCCACGCGCATTGCCCGGATGAGCATGACTGAGAATGTCACTGCGGGATTAAAGTGCCCACCGGAAATGTAGCCAAAGGTGAACACTAGCACGCACAGCATGAATCCTTCCGCAATCGGGGCGAGGTTGCGTGTGCGGTTCTTACCATTGATGGCAGAGATGCCGCAGTTCACCTCTGCAAGGGATATAGTCATCACAAAGAGAAATGTACCAATGCCTTCGCAGAGGAACTTCGCCTGGTAGGCGGATAGCTTTATCAAGGGGAGCTTGCGCGCCAAATATGAGCGCTCCTCCAATGCTGCAATCTCCTCCGTCATTTTCTTATGCGCCTTGCGTGAAAATCGCCTCAACTATTCCCCCGTCCGGTCTTTCGCTTCCTTTACGCTAGAGCCACCACCACCACCACCAAAGAAAACACCACAACGGCTCACACCAGAAGTGTGTTCCTCTCCTACTTGGTAAACGGAGTGCGAGGGAAGCAAACAAAAAAAAA